GTTTTCTGTGTCTCGGCGCCACCGTTGTTATCCCATCATCCCGTCTGACTCGCTGCGCTCCTCCAGTCGGTGTAATTTACGGCCGTCTGTTCAGACGCTGTCCGGTCTGTGATTTACCTTCTGACCGGAGCACCGGTACCGTTTCCATCACCGATTCCTCTCCTGCTGGAAGAATTGGGCCATCAGAGGGAAAACATTCTGCCTGCGGCGTAAATGAGATAAATCTGGTGCAACACCTGGGCGTGGGGCTTCAGCAGTCAATACTGACGATTTCCAAAAGAGGTTATTTAAACCAGGACGGACGGGTTGATTCCTCGCTTCTACACGTCTCGGTTGATACGAAACATAAAGTAATTTTCAATCTCTGCTGTTGCTCTGCCCTCCCGACTCTGCTGCTCCGTGTGATTTATACCAAGCTTTGGAGAGATGATCTTTATTCAGAGGGCCTCCAGGCAAGGCTGATAACTCCAAGGTCTTCCATCAGTTCAGCACGGCGTTGCTGCCCTTGCCCCCAGCCTCACTGTCTGTTACAGAAATACAGCCCTCTAATGATGCAGTACGCTTTCCGTTTGTTTTTCAGATTCACAAGCAGCCATTCAGCCTCAGATACCCAACACTTCATGTCTAATCGGACGGAATATGAAGTTTATACAAAGATTTTTAATGAAAGTTGATAACAAATTTTCTGCACGATCAGTTTGTCACAGAAGTTATCGTGGCGTACTGCAAAAAAACAAAAAAAATAGTGATGCCAAGTATTTCTGGTCTGGGCTCTAGTACAAATATCATAGTAAGCTTGAAATGAGACAAAACTAACTTATAAGTAACTTATGTGCAAAAATTAGGAGCTTCTTTTAAATAATTCCTTAATATTGATGAAGTTTTAGTTCCACTGGCAAATTATTTCACTTATATCAAGGCAAAATTATAAGGTAAATATTCTAAGAACTGGCACTTTTTCATCAATATTAAGGAATTATTGACTTAAACTCCTTTATCCTGCTGAAAGTTACTTTTTCAGCCGTTTTGCAGTTTTCTGGAACACTTTACACTAATCTGAACGTGGAATAACCAAAATAACAAATGAAAAACAACAAATAACTTTGTTGTTGCATTCGTATGTCTTGTTTATTCAAAAATGAAACATAAAAAACGGTTTTTGCTTATTTGTCCTAATAATTTTTGATTCAATTAACTTTAACTTGAAAAAGATTTTCTCTGTTCTTCCCTTACACAGCAAAAACCCCCAAAAACAATCACCAAGGATTTATGGTCTTGTTTCTATTGCAAACGTCGTAATAAATTTGAAATAAGACAAAACTAACTTACAGGTAACTTTCTAATAAGAAATAGGAGCTTGTTTTAAGTAAATAATTCCTTAATATTAATGGAAAAGTTAAAATGTTCCACTCTGCCATTTTCTAGCAACCCCAGCTAAGCCCAGCCCGTCACCTAGCAACCCCAGCCACGCTCAGCCCGTCACCTAGCAACCCCAGCTAAGCCCAGCCCGTCACCTAGCAACCCCAGCTAAGCCCAGCCCGTCACTTAGCAACCCCAGCCACGCTCAGCCCGTCACCTAGCAACCCCAGCCACACCCAGCCCGTCACCTAGCAACCCCAGCTAAGCCCAGCCCGTCACCTAGCAACCCAGTTCTAGTTCCACTGGCAGATTACTTCATTTGTAACATTGAAAAATGTCTTGTTATAAGTGAAATAATCTGAACTTTTTCATCAATATTAAGGAATTATTTACTTAGAACAAGCTCCTATTTCTTGCTAAAAGTTACTTGTAAGTTAGTTTTGTCTTATTTGAAGTGTGCTAAGATGTTTGCGTTAGAAGCTGGACCAAACAGACTTGGTGATATTTAGTGTTTTTGCAGTGATGTGTCCTCGCCTGTTTCAGGGCGTGACGTACTGCGGGGAAAGCTCGGCCAGCAGTCTGACCATGGCGAACGTCCCCTGGCACCAGGAAGTGGTCGCCTTCGTCCAGCAGCTGGCTGACATGCTGCCTCACTACCAGATCGCCTGCGAACACGAGCACTCCAACTGTTTGCTCATCGCTCACAGTAAGGTAAGAAGACCTCAGCTGCCGAGCGCAGATGAAAAACCCAACGCAACAATAAGCAGTTACAAGATGTACAAATTGAATATATGTTCTCCTCTTTGGGTTCAGCAAAATGGGTTTTAAAGAAATCACATTTTTAATGTTTGTCACAGAAAAGTTTCTGCTCTGCAGAGACAGGAGGAACACCATTTGGACTCGCTTTTATCTGGTTTATTTTAGGGATTTGTACTTTTCAGAACACCCTGTTCCACAAGCTTAGCCTTCCACTCAGGGGAGTTTTATTCATAAAAGCATTTATGTGATATATTACCAATGCTTGGTGCTCAGGTGCAGCAGGGAATGATGGATGGTGAGAAAGTTACATAAAAGGCAGGAGTCACGTTCTCAGCCTGAGAACGGAGTCGCTTTCTGTGAGGAAGTGATCCTCATTTCTGTCGCCTTCGATTCCTCCGAGGCTCCAGAAACATTCAGCTGGGCAAACGGGCTTTCCATTTAATACAGTTCAAATGAAATATTTATGTTTATTAATACAAAATAAATAACACTGATGTAAATTATGAGTACAGATTAGCATAAACATTAGCTCGTATGTTGCAGAAACCTAAGAACCTAATGTTTCCGATCTCTGAAGTCTGTTTCTTTAAATGCAAAATTAATCTACATAATAATAATATTCCTCAAGTAAAAGTAAAAGCTACTTGCAGTAAAACTCCTATAGCCTCTTTTCCTCTTTTCGTTTTCCAAAAGTAAGTATCCAGAACTTCCCATCTCTGAACATACAGAACAATATTAGCAGCTTGATATCTGGTGAGACAAACTGCAACTTAAACAACTAAAATGATCTTTTAAAGGGGACCTGTTATGCAAAATTCACATTTGCTTGTTTTTATACTTCATTTGGATTTCTCCTGCTCTTATAAAAACACCCAGACGTTTTGGACAATAAGTTACTGTTTTTTTTTGTTTGGTGTCTGGAAAACAAGCCGTTTCTAAAACCTCCACAATGTAACGTCACCAATCAGCAGACACTGCCCCGTTACCTAGCAACCCACGCTGAGCTCCAGCATGTTTGGTCAGCTGGTTTGATGCGTTCTGCAGTTTAAAGACAAGTGTTTTGTTGTTGACTTACCATCCAGAAGAAACTTCCTGCATTCCTGTTGTGCAGGAGGCTCTACTTCTGCTTTTCAAACATGTGTGCTTGTATAATTGCTCATCTGTTTGCAGCCATTTTCACATGTGAGTGTAAACGCTGAGCTTTGGGTTCGTGGCCAGCAGCAGCTGATTTAAAGTGAGAAGAGGCAATAAAACAGCTCAACAGGCAAAACTAACCAGAATAAAATCTCAAGATTTAAGTGATTTTGTGTGAAAAATGTAATGAACATGTTTTGCGTAAGCCATAGAGCTACTCTAACCTGTACAAGGAAACATAATATGTTGTCTTTAACGATGTAAAAGTGCAAAACTAACCTCTGGTGCATTCTCTGTCTTTTCTGTTGGTTTGAAAAGGTTTTAAGACAGAATGTTGGACGTTAAACTCCTAAAGCTGTTAAAGCTGGAGGCTCTGGTGCGAGCCGTCCAGGTTTAAATGCATTCTGCATACAAAGTGCTGCTGGAGATTAAAACACAGCTGGGCTAATTGGTCCCTAACGGTCAGAAACAGGATGTGAGGAAACTCTGGGATCGTAAATTATCATTGACAGCTGAACAATGATAATTTACTGGGCGAATTTTATAAATCTAAAGGGGAATTATTATAGATTATGGATGTCTGGAGGAAAATACGTTCAACATCCAGACACCCTGAGTTCAGGTGTTAAACAACCTGGTTTGACTTTTATTTTACAAACGGGAGAATATTAAAAATAAAAGGAAAAAATTGACCTTATTACTTCAGATCCTCATTATTTTTGTTTGTGTTGTTTGGTAAATCAGTTCTAACAGAAAACAGGGAAGTTTATTAATATAGAAACATTTATGCATAATGGTTACAGGATAAAGCATGAAAGGATTGCACAAAATAAAAACATGTTAAGATCTTAAAATAAATGTTTCAGAGTTTATTAGTTGGATTCTTTGATTAAAAGCTGCTGTAAACAAAAATAATTCAATTGTGTTTATTTTTATAGTGCAAATTCACAACAAGCACCGTCTGAGGCACTAAAAAAAAACCATTACAAATTTTACTGGAGGAAAAATCGTCCTGGTAATTGTAATAAATTATAGTATTGTCGTTTTGAGACTATTTTCAAATATATTGATCATATAATGCAAATTCAAAAAATATAAATTTTTTATTTTATTTTCAATTAAACAAATTTGATGAATGGGTGGATAATTTTTATTTTTGGTGGAGCAGAAGAGGATTTATGTTTCAGGTCTATTTTTCTTTAATTCTGCTTCTAAATTTCAAGTAGCCCTAAAAATTTGGACTATTTGCACAACACCTGATAGTAAAGAACAACTTAATTTTTTATTTCTATGTGTTTGACGTGATTGGAAAACTGAGAATCCATAAATAACTTAACGATCCGTTTTGACATATTCGTGACAGTAAGTGAGTTAAGAGACTAATATGTTTATTTCAGATACATATTAACATGCTGAGTTTATTGGGGGGCAATTTAAGGTGAGATTAGTGTTTATTAAACTCTAACAGTTTGAGAAACACTGAAGTTTCAGAACCAGAACCCGGTTCAGTCCAATACAAGACGAACTGCAAAGGAAACTGAAAATCTGGATCAACCCTGAAAAAACCATCAAAAGGAATCGAATTTAATCTACTTCTAAACGATAACTACAGACTTTTAGTTTCGTCATTCAGAATCCAACGGGTTTGGAAAAGGCTTTTTGGTTCTAGTGGAAAACAAGTTTACATTTTCACATGAATGACAGAAAATGTGAGATATCAAAGGTTAAAGTGCTTTACAGGTTTTTGGTTTTTTCTGCCTGTTTGTCTGCAGCAAGTTGAAACATTTCCTTTTATGTGTTGTTGGGATTTTTGGATCCTGTTTCTGTTCTGACTGCCAGACACGTTTGTCCTCATAAGTTAGAAAAAAAACAATATTTTTCCTTCACTTTGTCAAAACGAAAGGTGCAGATGAAACAGCAGCGAGCGCATAAAGTGATTCTGTTCCATCCAGCGTCGTTTTAAACCCTAATTTAAAACCCTCGTCTGGAAAGAGGTGTGGAGCTGCGGCTTTACAAAAAATAGTAGAAACTCTGTTACTATCAGCAAGACTCCATTAACTAAAACAGCATGCAGTCCTGTTCTCTTCCCGGACAGCGCAGATTTACTTTGTTCTTGGAAATATTACCCAGACTGAATAAATGTCAGTCTGGGAACGTTTGTTCCCAACAGGCGTTTCTTCTCCAGCCTCATCAACAATGCAGCAGGCTGGGTTTACTTTTTCCTCTAATGTGACGCCGTAAAGCACCAAACACCTCGATGCTTCCTCAGCAGGAAGGTGTGTTAGTCCTCCAACGCTGGATCTGTTTTAATTACTTTAGTGAATAAAAATAAAGCAGTATTAGGAATACTGAGGCCAATCAGAGTTTCCTCATTGCAAAGAGCTGCAGCCCAGTCGTGTGCTGGCCCAGTTCAGCTCCATTTCATATTTAAAGCTGCTCAGGAAGGTTCGTCTGTGCCCACGATGCCGTTCCAGTCAGCTTGACCTCT